ATTACTAGAACACATTGGTATTGAAGGAACTAGATACTGTTCCGAAATATCACTTACTCGAACCGTCCTGACCGCGTAGCTCAGTTGGAAGAGCATTGGGCTAGTATTCCAAAGGTCGTGGTTCGAATCCCACCGTGGCCGGGCATATTTTTCAAGCTCGCCCGGTGTGGATATGCACTCAGAGTAACATCGCAAACATATTATTCACCCGAGAACACAACACCAACACAGAAAAAAAAAATTCATACTGCTTTCTATTTAACAAATATGATTTAAACCAATCTTTAGCTATGCCCCGAATTCCGTAGTGCTCTAGTTTTGTAATCAGTATATCATGATTTACAGTGTCGAAGGCCTTACTTAAATCTAAAAATATTCCACAAGAGTATTGTTTATTTTCGACTGCTTTTTGGATTTTATCAGTAATAAGTGTTACTGCTTGTACAGTGGAGTATCCCGACCTAAATCCGAATTGGTTTTCAGATATTATATTCATTTTCTCAACATACTTCATCAACCTCCCATACATTAGTTTTTTCAATATTCTATTAAATATAGACAATAAAGAAATTGGTCGATAATTATTAACATAGATTGCAGATCCATTTTTAAATACTGGCACTATCTGGGCAATCTTAGATTTATCTGGGACAACACCAGTGCTAAAGGAACAATTACACAAAATCTCTAATGGTTCAGATATATTGCAATATAAAATTTTTAGCAGCTTTGTTGGAATACTACCACTTGTTTTTGATATATTGAGTTTGGCAATTTCCAGTTGAATCTCATTTTCAGTGACTGGTGAGAGAAAAAAGCTAGTTGGTATTGCACAATCCATGTATTCAAGGGGTGAAATATCGTTAGAACTAATTGAGTCAACAATTCTTGAACCAATTGAAGAAAAGTATTTGTTAAATGTTTCAGCAATTGTTTTAGTATCTGTGATTTCGATATTATTCTCAACTATTTTACTTTGTATTCCCTGAGTGCTCTTTCTTTTTGGATTAACTATGTCCCTAATTCCAGTCCATATATTTTTTTAAATTAAAAAAATTTTGGTAATAATTTTTCTTGCTCAATTTTATAAGTTTGCCAAGTTTATTGCTATATCTTCTGTATTCCAAATTAGAAATTCATTATTACTTCCTAACTGTTTCCTATATAGTCGTTTTTTGTTTAATAGACACTTTTATTGCTGAAGTGATCCATGGTTTAAGGCTAAAACTGACATGACCTTGTCTTGATAATTTCTTAAGTGGTGCATGATTTTCAATCACCTCTGAAATCTTGCAGTAAAAGCTGTGAAAAATATCATTCACATTATTATTTTGTGGTAACGTTACATTCCAATCAATTGAAGAAACTTCATTAATCAAATAAGCCTCATCAAAATTAGCATAGTCTCTCTTAAAAATATTTGTTTTAGAAATTTTACTTATGTTTTTATGAATTATAAGGAAAATTGGTAAATGGTCAGTTAAATCTGAAAATATATTTCCACTTATAGTATGATAGCCTAATGAATTTATAAAGATATTATCAATTAAAGTTGCACTATGATGAGTTATTCTAGTGGGTTGAATGATTTTAGGATGGAGATTGTATGTAAACATGGTATTAACAAAACTTTCAGTTGGACCATGTGTTTCATAGTTTAGTAGATTAATATTAAGATCTGCCATTAATATTAATAATTTATTCTCATTAGCAATTTTGTCAAGGATAGAGTATAAATAATTAGTAAAATTTTCAAGGTTTGCTTTTGGGTGTCGATATAAAACACCACATGTTATTCCCCGATCATGACCTTCAATATCAATCCACAATGCTTCGAATTCATTTTTTGAAGTGCATAGATCATCTCTTTTCGAGTATTTTAAATTATTGTTCACAAATAATCCAACCCCACCAGCTTTTATAGAGAAGGTTGTGATAAAAAATTATACCCACTAATGTCAGTATTAATTATACAATCTTGTTGCTGTTTTATCTTTGTTTCCGAAATTCCAATCACAGAAAATGGAAACTTTAATTGGGAGAGTAGTAAAGAAAGTTTATCAATATTGGCTGCAAGACTCCTAATATTACAGTGTATGGTTGAAAAAAGATCATGTTTGTATATTTGATATATTTAGTTATCAAGTATAAGTTGCTTCATCTTTGAACATGATAATAACCTCATAATAACCTCAGTCATCACAATACTAGACAAAAACATAATCTTCATTTCACATTTAATAAATTATCATTTTCAATCAGATCCCAAGGACCAAAAATTTGGAATTCAATTCCGTATACTCTTCGTAATTCGCTAAAATATTTTAATTATAAGCGTATTTTGAAGGATTACTACTTGTCTCTAGCTTATTAACTATATTAACCAACAACTGATATTCTTTGTTGTTTTATTGTCATTTCGCACTTTGATATTTTGTACCCAGTGTTTTGTATTTAATAATTGTTCACTTCTCTTCTAATTATTACTATAACTGTAATCAGTAATCAGGAAATTTGGCTGTCCATCTATATAGCCATATAAGCCTCTGTAATTTAATTATTCATGAATAAAGACCATTATTATTATTATCTTTTTCTAAATGGCTCTAGCACGATGAAGATGTGAAGCTTCTTGGACAAAAAATCGAAGTGTCACAGATCATCGGAGCTGCGCATGCTCCGCTGGCAACACAGTTTCCTCAACGACCCTTACATCAACAAGAACCTGAACCCGATTACACTTGGAAGATAGCAAACTTTACAAGAAAGCTTGCTCAAGCAAAATCTGACAATGAGTATGGTAGGATTGAAAGTGAACCTTTTTTCACAAGTTATGGTTACAAAATGAAGCTTCTTGTCAATTTTAATGAAGCGCCATCTGGTTACGCAGGCTACATGGGTGTTTACTTAATTTTAATGAAAAGTGATCGAGATGGAACCCTACCCTGGCCTTTTACAAAGCGTTACAAATTTGGTCTTGTTGATCAGCAAGATGATCTCGAGCAAAGACAAAACATTGAGGCGGCATTTACTCCAACTGGACATGAGGAAAACTTTAAGAGACCAAGGCAGCGTGAGAATAAACTAGGTATGGGAAACCCTCAGTTTGTTAAACACTCCACTCTACGTACTCGTCAGTACATTAGAGACGACGCTGTATACATCAAGATCCAGGTAGATTCATGAAAAATAGCGATAATTATATTTGGTGGACGCTTACCTAGATAGAACTATATATACAATGGAGACATTCGCGATAGTTTGAAAACTCTGCCATTTTCCTAAACTAAAGATTGATATTTTCCTGATTGTTAAAATGCAATCAAAACGTAGAGAGTTAATTCACAAGTAATATCCAATGTTGTGCTTTCTTAGCAATTTATTATAGGTAGTTGTAATTTTTAATCTAGTTCCGTAGCATGTTGAAGATTTATTCAAATTGTGTCATTTCTTACAATATAAGAAGACTCTTTGGACATGACGTCATCAAAGTTTTCTTCAATTTTTGAGAGTCCTCTTATATTGAAAGAAATGACACAATTTGAATAAATTTTCAACATGCTACGGACAGTCCAACGACTTAGTAAGCCATGAGGGCTGAAAACTGGGGGAGTCCTGGTACAAGCTTTTTCGGACGAATTTGAAAAATCGGGGCTCGCATTTTTCCTGCACTTTCTGACACCGAATTGAAGAATCTGGACAACACGAATTGTACAAAGTTGCTTCATAATTGGTTTTTGTCAGTTTGTATGACTTGGTGAGAGCTGAGTGGCGATTGTAAAAGCTCACGCTTTGTAACCAAGACATACACGACTTAATCTATTTTTAGCCCGCACCACCACTTTTACTCCTGCGGCTAAACCCCCCTTCCCTCTATTCCGCCGTCCTGCAATTATTAACGAAAATATCTTGACCGTTAGTTGCCTGAGCATGAAACGGCAATTTGGAAATGACGTTTTGCAAAAAGTTTAGACTAGTAAACTGCTCTCATTCCTAATTCACTGAACAGCATAGATAGCTGACCCTCTTTATAGGGGTGGGATTCCTTGTCACCCACCATCTCCCTCCCCTCCCAACAACGTCGCCAGGCTCCAAAGCGCCTGGGGACGAGGTTTTTTGCCAAAATATTTTGCCACCATAATTCCTCGAAATTGACAATGGGCTATTCCATTTAATATCCGTACCCCCCCTGTCGAGGATCCCTGGAATTCTTCAGGGGTAAAGTGTTTTGAGTTTGGAATTCTTCAGGGGTAAAGTGTTTTGAGCTTGGAATTCTTCAGGAGTAAAGTGTTTTGAGTTTGGAATTCTTCAGGGGTAAATGGTTTTGAGCTTGGAATTCTTCAGGGGTAAAGGGTTTTTAGCTTGGAATTCTTCAGGGGTAAAGAGGTTTGAGATTGAAATTTTTCAGAGCTTGGAATTCTTCAGGGGTGAAGGGTTTTGAGCTTGGAATTCTTCAGGGGTAAAAGGTTTTGAGCTTGAAATTCTTCAGGGGTAAAGGGTTTTGAGCTTGGAATTCTTTAGGGGTGAAGGGTTTTGAGCTTGGAATTCTTCAGGGGTAAAAAGTTTTGAGCTTGGAATTCTTCGGGGGTAAAGGGTTTTAAGCTTGGAATTTTGGAATTCTTCAGGGGTAAAAGGTTTTGAGCTTGGAATTCTTCAGGGGTAAAGAGTTTTGAGCTTGGAATTTCGGAATTCTTCAGGGGTAAAGAGTTTTGAGCTTGGAATTCTTCAGGGGTATGACAATGAAAAACATGTATCCTCGACAGGGGGGTACGGATATTAAATGGAATAGCCCAATTCTACAGAAGAATCGGCCGAATCGCACTTTTGCTTTCGTTGATGTCAAAGCCGTGTGTTTCCCGATTGAATTTTAGTGTTGAAATGGCAACAAACGGTCATTCAGGCTACCCATTGAAGTGGTTTAAAGATCAGAATGCTGCAAGACATGCTTATGAATGTGCTATTTGTTTGGAAGTTTTAAAAGATCCCGTCCAAGTGCGAGACTGTGGACATCAATTTTGTGCCCTCTGCATTGACGATATTCTCAAGTAAGTTTCACATTCGCAAGTTTATAAAATCTTTTAAAATAAATGTAAAAATTAAAAGACAAGACAAGGGGGTCTATTGAAGTTTTCAGTGTATAATTTATTTCAAGATTGACTAGCGCAGTACAGTATATGTATAAATATGGCAATGGGCAATTATCCATTTAATATCCGCAACCCCCCTGTCCCTCGAGGGGGGTGGATATTAAATGGAATAGCCCAAAAGTAAATGTAAAAAAGGCAAGGGGGTCTATTAAAGTTTTCAGTGTATAATTGATTTCAAGATTGACTTTATATAGTACAGTACAGTATATGTATAAATATGGCAATGCTGCAATGGGCTATTCGGCCTATTCCATTTAATATCCAACCCCCCCTGTCGAGGATACATGTTTTTCATAGTTATATCCTTGAAGAATTCCAAGCTCAAAACCCTTTACCTTTGAAGAATTCCACGCTCAAAATCCTTTACCCCTGAAGAATTCCAGGGATCCTCTTTGGGGGGGGGGGGGG